ACAAAGACATTTTGAATCAAATCATAGACCTATCCACCAGAAAAATAAACATGAGAAATTGTTTTCTAATATTTAAAAATTATATGAAATAGATAAGTTAACATATGTAAGCAGTTTCAATTATATAATAGAGATTTGCTTCATATCTTTATATTTGAACCTAAAACAATCACAAAATCTCTACCAAGTCTTGATCTTGTTGTTTCTCATCACCTGTGCATACTCAGTGTTTGGCCTGGACTATGACACATAGGTACATTTCATATGTTTGTCAATTACATGGATTAATTTCTGAAAGGTGAATTTGTTTATAAAGTTGTTCTGCTTTTCCAAAATTTGAAAAGTAAAGACCAAAATAACTTTTATATGCATTCAAGAATTTAAGCAAGTTGGAATGCAGTTAAAGACCATGCAGTTAAAATTGTAAATTAACCCAGAAAGTTACCTACACATTGTAAAGTGATATCAGTAGAGACGCTTCCTGTATTGTCTGTGGGTTATGGTTGCAGTATCTGTATTCTGAAAACTTACAACCTAATACTTTCCATGACTTTTAATGCATATGATTTTTTATTTTATCATTTTTTCCAATAACTAATTTTTCTGAATGTTCTCTATTACAAATTGTGTCGAGTAAAAAATAATTTTGCTTTGTTCCTGAAATATGAGGACAATTTTACACAGTAAAACAAATTTAAAATTATGTCATCAATATTGATAAAACCTCTGTTTTGTTTTTATTAGAAACAGTGATGAAAATATACTTCTATTAAACATTTTACAGTATATCATACTGATTTATTACTTTTCCATTCATGGCACATAAAATAGTTAATGAGAACCATTTTTTTAGTTTGGTAGGCAACAAGAAATCATTTGCCATCTCTGATTAGGAAATTAGTATAGGATAAATTACATGTGTGTGCTGAATGTGGGAAGCCATGCCAACCAACCTATGCCACCCCTCATTTCACCTGGTTTACAGAGCCTTTTATACGCCAGAAAACACAGAGCAAGAGAAAGCTTTTTAAATCTAAAGAATGAAGGAATCCTTCCAGCCAAGAAAAAGACAGTTTCTTCTACATCGCCTTGTCTGTGCAAAAAAAAAATTTCAAGCATCACATCTACAACTAAATTTTGATTTATCCCTAAACCTGCTCCTCCCTCACTAGTAATATCATTATTATTGCTCATACCCCAAAACTGAGGATAATCCTCCACTCCTCTCTTTCCCATATCCAACCAACTACAAATATCATTTGTGTTACCCTCTAAATACATTCTAGGGAATCAACCACTTTTCTTTTCTTCAGCTTTTAAGTTCAGGGGTACACATGCAGAATGTGCAGATTTGTTACATAGGTAAATGTGTGCCACAGTGGTTTGCTACACAGATCAACCCATCACCTAGGTATTAAGCCCATCATCTCTTAGCTATTCTTGATGCTATCCCTCCCCTGGCTCTCATAACAAGCCCCAGTGTGCATTGTTCCCTGCAGCGTGTCCATGTGTTCTCATCAATCAGCTCCCACTTATAAGTGAGAACATGTGGTGTTTGGTTTTCTGTTCCTGTGTTAGCTTGCTGAGAATAATGGCTTCTAATTCCATCCATGTTTCTGCAAAGGACATGATCTCGTTCCTTTTCATGGCTGCATAGTATTCTGTGCTGTGTATGTACCATAATTTCTTTATCCACTCATTCACTGATGGTGATTTGTATTGATTCCATGTCTTTGCTATTGTGAATAGTGCTGCAATGAACATAAGTATGCATCTTTATAAATGCATATAAATGTCATCTTTTGTAAAGTGTCTGTTCATGTCCTTTGCCCACTTTTTAATGGGGTTGTTTTTTCTTGGAAATTTCTTTATGTTCTTTATAGATTCTGGATATTAGACCTCTGTCACATGGATAGATTCCAAAAATTCTCTTCCATTCTGTAGGCTGTCTGTCCTCCACTCTGATGTTTCTTTTGTTGTGCAGAAGCTTTTTAATTAGATTCCATTTGTCAATTTTTGCTTTTGTTGCAATTGCTTTTGGCATTTCTGTCATGAAATCTTTGCTCATGCCTATAACCTGAATGGTGTTGCCTAGATTTTCTTCAAGGATTTTTATAGTGTTGGGTTGTATATTTAAGTTTTTAATCCATCTTGAGTTATTTTTGTATATGGTGTAATGAAGTATTCCAGTTTAATTTTCTGCATATGGACAGCCAGTTCTCCCAAAACCATTTATTAAACAGGGAATCCTTTCTCCATTGCTTATTTTGGTCAGCTTTATTGAAGAACAGATGGCTGTAGGCGTGCAGTCTTATTTCTGGATTCTCTATTCTGTTCATTGCTCTACATATCTGTTTTGGACCAGTACTATGCTGTTTTGGTTACTGTAGCCTTGTAGTATAGTTTGAAGTCAGGTAGTGTGATGCCTCCAGCTTTGTTCTTTTTGCTTAGGATTGTCTTGACTATCTGGGTTCTTTTTTTGTTCCATATAAATTTTAAAGTAGTTTTTCTAATTCTGCGAAGATTGTCAATGGTAGTTTAATGGAAATAGCATTGAATCTATAAATCACTTTAGATAGTATGGCCATTTCCACAATATTGATTCTTCCTATCCATGAGGATGGAATATTTTTCCACTTGTGTCTTCTCTGATTTTCTTGAGCAGTAGTTTGTGGTTCTTCTTGAAAAGTTCCTTGACTTCCCTTGTTAGTTGTATTCCTAGGTATTTTATTTTCTTTGTAGCAATTGTGAATGGGAGTTCATTCATGATTTGGCTTTCTGCTTGCCTGTTGTTGGTGTATAGGAATGCTGGCATAGTTTGAATCCTGAGACTTTGCTGAAGTTGCTTATCAGCTTAAGAAACTTTGGGGCTGAGACAACAGACTTTTCTAAATATAGGATTATGCCATCTACAAACAAAGATAATTTGATTTCCTCTCTTCCTATTTGAATTCACTTTATTTCTTTCTCTTGCCCAACTGCCCTGACCAGAACTTCCAATACTATGTTGAATAGGAGTGGTGACAGAGGGCATCCTTGTCTTATGCTGGTTTTCAAGGGGAATGCTTCCAACTTTTGCCAAATCAGTATGGTATGGTCTGTGGGTTTGTCATATATGGCTCTTATTATTTTGAGGTATGGTCCTTCAATACCTAGTTTATTGAGAGTTTTTAACATGAAAAGATGTTAAGTTTTATTGAAGGTATTTTCTGCATCTATTGAGATAATCATGTGGCTTTTGTCTTTAGTTCTGTTTATGTGATAAATTACATTTATTGATTTATGTATGTTGAACCAACCTTGCATTACAGGGATGAATCCAACTTGATATATGCTGGATAAGCTTTTTGATGTATTGTTGGATTTGGTTTGCCACTATGTTATTGAGGATTTTTGCATTGATATTCTTAGAAATACTGATCTGAAGTTTTCTCTTTTTTGTTGTTGTATCTCTGCCAGGTGTTGGTATCAGGATGATGCTGGCCTCATAAAATGAGTTAAGGAGGAGACCCTCTTTTTCCATTGTTTGGAACAGTTTCAGAAAAAAAAAAGTACCAGTTCCTCTTTGTACTTCTGGGAGAATTTAACTGTAAATCCATCTGGTCCTGGGATTTTTTTGGTTGGTAGGCTATTTATTACTGTCCCAATTTCAGAATTCATGATTAGTCTATTCAGGCATTCAATTTCTTCCTGGTTCAGTCTTGGGGGGGGGGTGTATATGTCCAGGAATTTATCCGTTTCTTCTAGATTTTCTAGTTTATGTGGATAGAGGTGTTTATAGTATTCTCTGATGTCAACCACTTCTTATCTCCTCTGTAGCCAATGTCTACATCTCTCTTCTCTTCCCTCACCTCACATCACTCATGTGCCCTTTTTCAACAGCCTCCTGACTCCAATCCTTGCTGATACCAAAGGCTCAATCTCTTCTCCTACTTCAAACTTCTTCCTCCACCAGCTTTTGATCTGACTGAGTCTCAGAAAGAAGGGAGCCTTCACTCAGTACCTTCATTAATTGCCACGTTGCTTATCTATTTTTCCTCCCACACTCTGTGTTCTCTGACATCTCCAGAACCACTAGTAGTAACAAAGAGAACATGTTAGGAAGTCTTTAAGTGACCCTCAAAATATTTGATCCAAGAGATATTCACACTCCAGCTAGAAACTTTGAAGCAGCTGGCTTATTTTTCATTCTATCCCCTCAGTGTTCCCTCTATAGAAATACAGGCTATAGAAATAGATAACCTGAAGAAGGAAAGTGATTTTTATAGCAGTCAGAAAAGAAAAATATATAATCATTTCCAGTGGTAATAATTTCTCAAAATATAATCAAACAGAATAAGGGAATAGAGAGTAACTCAGTGGGATGGAAGGCAATTGAATCAAACCCAAAAAAGTGCAAGTTAAGAGAGAAAGATCCAGGACTGTGTGATTTCAGTCAAGCTTGATCGACACTACCTGAAGTCTGAGATAGGTGGAGATGGGTAGCAGATACGAAAGGTTGCTAATCTTGCAGGGAAAGAAATTCAGGAAGATTGCCAAGGAGATTTGCTGCCATACAGTGTTTGAGCAGGAGAGATTAGGAGACAGATTTCAGGAGTTAAAAAGAAATGTTAATTAAGTCTAATTATAGACTGCTTTCAGTATGATTTGACAGGAAAAAGAATTAGCACAAATAGGAGGGAGATAAAAGAAACAGCAGAGTCAAGCAGTTTCCCTATTTTTAATGAACTCCTATAAATTTCTCAATGGGTAAGAAACAAAACCTATAAATATGGGAACCCAGGGACAATATGGAGTGAGAGGGAATTCAGGACAGTGAGGGTTTTAATTAGACACAGCGGGAAGGGATGTAGAGCCCTGGTGAAAAGACTATAAAGGAAGGGGAGGGAGATTACTCTCTCACATCACAGGGAAGTGTTAGAAAATAGATTTGGGGAGAGTGTTCTGTGGAGAGAGAAGATGACAAATGATTTCGGTCTTGTAGGGGGCAGGGATTAACCTTTTTTTCTTTCTTTCTTTAAAAGCAATTTATTTCTTATTACAAAATGCAGGTGAGGAGCACGGGCAATGCCTGTAACCCCTTGGTTGCGCATCTTCCCAGTCTATTTCTGCTTCTAGAAATACCGTGTGTACAACACCAAGCTCATGCTGTCCCCAAGCGCTTGCACATTCTAACAGCTGCAGAGTACATGAGCAGGTGGAAAGTCCAACAGATGCCCCCACTCACAAGGCAGGGCCCTCCAACCCCTCTTCTGGCTCCCTTTTGCTAACAGTAACTGGTTGCTCTTCCTACTGGTCATAGATAAATGACACCTCCACAATTCTCTGAGAGCTTTCAGGCAACCTCAGGAGGCAGTGACTAAGACCCTTCCCTTGCTGCCAGCTTCCTATGTCCCAGGCTGCCTGTGGCACCTGGACTGCTGCTGCCCCTGGGTCCCGCACATTCCAGGGCAACGATGGAGGAAGGGCAGGCCACGCATGAAGATTTAACAGTCTTTACTGGACTCAGACCAGGAGTCAGTGGGTCTTGAGGACCTCTGTGTATTTGTCAATTTTCTTCTCCACATTCTTCCCAACCTGTTTCCGTAGCCTCATGAGCTGTTTCTTCTTCCGGTAGTGGATCTTGGCTTTCTCTTTCCTCTTCTCTAGGGTGGCTGTCACTGCCTGGTACTTCCAGCCAACCTCCTGAGCCAGGCACCCCAGACAAGCAAACTTTCTTGTAGGCTTCAGACACACGACCTTGAGGGCAGCAGTAACCACCATCCGCTTTTTCTTGTCGTAGGGCGGTGGGATGCCGTCAAACACCTGGAGGCGGTCCAGGGCGGCCTGCCCTCCCTTGATCTCGCACGGCAGCAAGTCTCGCACGGTCTGCCAGAGGATGCGGCTGGGGGCCTGGAAGTGGTAGGGGCCTCTGGAAGTGTTGGTGTTCATCCGCTTGCAGAGGAAAGCCGGGTACTTCAACTTGTTTCTGTAGAAATTGCCAGAAATATTGATACCTTGGCAGCATAGGACCACCACCTTCTGGACCAGCAGTACCTGTTTAGCTGCGATGGCCGCCAGGGGGCCCAGGAGATGGCGTCGACCATTGAGCACCAGGACCTGTACCTCCGCCATCTTCCGCAGCTGCCTGGGAAAGGGGGGACTAACATTTTAAAGAGGATTAACCTCTTTTGCCTCAGTTCCTCCTCTCTACAATGGACTCTAAATACTAATCACCTCACAGGGTAGTTGTGATGATTAATGAGTTAATCCGTAAAGGCCTAAGAACTGTAACTGATGCAAAGAATCTCTCAGTGCATATGAGCTGTTATTCAGTCTCATAGTTTTCCACAAATGCAAAATAATTATTTTGTCATAATAATTAGATATGACAAAATATTAATGATTATATAAAGTCTCATCATAAACAAGTTATTTTAATGAAAAGTATATCACTTATTTTTCTCTATAATCATTTTTTCCACAGTTCATCTGGATACCAAGCAACATTTTCATATTGCACAGATGAGGAAATTAAGGTTCAAAGAGGTTAGTGGCTTGTCCAGTTTTCACATTAGTAAATGATAAAGCCATGGCCAACCCAGGAGTTCTAAATCCAAATTCTATTGTCTTGACATTAAACTGAATTTCTAAATAAGGGAGAATTTCTTTAAAGGAGATTTCTGAATGGATCTTCACACATCCCAAAAAACTAATCATGGTTACCAACAGACTAAAGATTTTTTAAAGACAACTCAATTTCAACAAATCAGTCATGCTGTCCTGTCTTTCCCTTTGCTGACAGATAAATGCAAAATGATAGTTCTTCACTAGAGAAGCAAGAGCAAACACATTCGAAAGCTAGCAGAAGGCAAGAAATAACTAAGATCAGAGCAGAACTGAAGGAGATAGAGACACAAAAAACCCTCCAAAAAATCAATGAATCCAGGAGTTGGTTTTTTGAAAAGATCAACAAAATTGACAGACCACTAGCAAGACTAATAAAGAAGAAAAGAGAGAAGAATCAAAGTGACGCAATTAAAAATGATAAAGGGGATATCACCACCGACCCCACAGAAATACAAACTACCATCAGAGAATACTATAAACACCTCTACGCAAATAAACTGGAAAATCTAGAAGAAATGGATAATTTCCTGGACACTTACACTCTTCCAAGACTAAACCAGGAAGAAGTTGAATCCCTGAATAGACCAATAGCAGGCTCTGAAATTGAGGCAATAATTAATAGCCTACCAACTAAAAAAAGTCCAGGACCAGATGGATTCACAGCTGAATTCTACCAGAGGTACAAGGAGGAGCTGGTACCATTCCTTCTGAAACTATTCCAATCAATAGAAAAAGAGGGAATCCTCCCTAACTCATTTTATGAGGCCAACATCATCCTGATACCAAAGCCTGGCAGAGACACAACAAAAAAAGAGAATTTTAGACCAATATCCCTGATGAACATCGATGCAAAAATCCTCAATAAAATACTGGCAAACCGGATTCAGCAACACATCAAAAAGCTTATCCACCATGATCAAGTGGGCTTCATCCCTGGGATGCAAGGCTGGTTCAACATTCGCAAATCAATAAACATAATCCAGCATATAAACAGAACCAAAGACAAGAACCACATCATTATCTCAATAGATGCAGAAAAGGCTTTTGACAAAATTCAACAGCCCTTCATGCTAAAAACGCTCAATAAATTCGGTATTGATGGAACGTACCTCAAAATAATAAGAGCTATTTATGACAAACCCACAGCCAATATCATACTGAATGGGCAAAAACTGGAAAAATTCCCTTTGAAAACTGGCACAAGACAGGGATGCCCTCTCTCACCACTCCTATTCAACATAGTGTTGGAAGTTCTGGCTAGGGCAATCAGGCAAGAGAAAGAAATCAAGGGGATTCAGTTAGGAAAAGAAGAAGTCAAATTGTCCCTGTTTGCAGATGACATGATTGTATATTTAGAAAACCCCATTGTCTCAGCCCAAAATCTCCTTAAGCTGATAAGCAACTTCAGCAAAGTCTCAGGATACAAAATTAATGTGCAAAAATCACAAGCATTCTTATACACCAGTGACAGTCAAACAGAGAGCCAAATCAGGAATGAACTTCCATTCACAATTGCTTCAAAGAGAATAAAATACCTAGGAATCCAACTTACAAGGGATGTAAAGGACCTCTTCAAGGAGAACTACAAACCACTGCTCAGTGAAATATAAGAGGACACAAACAAATGGAAGAACATACCATGCTCATGGATAGGAAGAATCAATATCGTGAAAATGGCCATACTGCCCAAGGTAATTTATAGATTCAATGCCATCCCCATCAAGCTACCAATGAGTTTCTTCACAGAATTGGAAAAAACTGCTTTAAAGTTCATATGGAACCAAAAAAGAGCCTGCATCTCCAAGACAATCCTAAGTCAAAAGAACAAAGCTGGAGGCATCACGCTACCTGACTTCAAACTATACTACAAGGCTACAGTAACCAAAACAGCATGGTACTGGTACCAAAACAGAGATATAGACCAATGGAACAGAACAGAGTCCTCAGAAATAATACCACACATCTACAGCCATCTGATCTTTGACAAACCTGAGAGAAACAAGAAATGGGGAAAGGATTCCCTATTTAATAAATGGTGCTGGGAAAATTGGCTAGGCATAAGTAGAAAGCTGAAACTGGATCCTTTCCTTACTCCTTATACGAAAATTAATTCAAGATGGATTAGAGACTTAAATGTTACACCTAATACCATAAAAACCCTAGAGGAAAACCTAGGTAGTACCATTCAGGACATAGGCATGGGCAAAGACTTCATGTCTAAAACACCAAAAGCAACGGCAGCAAAAGCCAAAATTGACAAATGGGATCTCATTAAACTAAAGAGCTTCTGCACAGCAAAAGAAACTACCATCAGAGTGAACAGGCAACCTACAGAATGGGAGAACATTTTTGCAATCTACTCATCTGACAAAGGGCTAATATCCAGAACCGACAAAGAACTCAAACAAATTTACAAGAAAAAAACAAACAACCCCATCGAAAAGTGGGCAAAGGATATGAACAGACATTTCTCAAAAGAAGACATTCATACAGCCAACAGACACATGAAAAAATGCTCATCATCACTGGCCATCAGAGAAATGCAAATCAAAACCACAATGAGATACCATCTCACACCAGTTAGAATGGCGATCATTAAAAAGTCAGGAAACAACAGGTGCTGGAGAGGATGTGGAGAAATAGGAACACTTTTACACTGTTGGTGGGAGTGTAAACTAGTTCAACCATTATGGAAAACAGTATGGCGATTCCTCAAGGATCTAGAACTAGATGTACCATATGACCCAGCCATCCCATTACTGGGTATATACCCAAAGGATTATAAATCATGCTGCTATAAGGACACATGCACACGTATGTTTATTGCAGCACTATTCACAATAGCAAAGACTTGGAATCAACCCAAATGTCCATCAGTGACAGATTGGATTAAGAAAATGTGGCACATATACACCATGGAATACTATGCAGCCATAACAAAGGATGAGTTTGTGTCCTTTGTAGGGACATGGATGCAGCTGGAAACCATCATTCTTAGCAAACTATCACAAGAACAGAAAACCAAACACCGCATGTTCTCACTCGTAGGTGGGAACTGAACAATGAGATCACTTGGACTCGGGAAGGGGAACATCACACACCGGGGCCTATCATGGGGAGGGGGGAGGGGGGAGGGATTGCATTGGGAGTTATACCTGATGTAAATGACGAGTTGATGGGTGCAGCACACCAACATGGCACAAGTATACATATGTAGCAAACCTGCACGTTGTGCACATGTACCCTACAACTTGAAGTTTAATAATAATAAATAAATTTTTTAAAAAAAAAATCCATAAAAGGAGTAAATGAAAAAAAAAAATCATATACTTATTTATATGGCAAGTGTTTTGTTGAAAGTTAGTATGAATTGAGATTTACTTCCCTTTCCTTCAGGAGTCATGCTTCTAATCAATAACGATTAGAATGACAACTAAAAATAAATATATTTAAATGTGAAAAAAAAAAAAAATGATAGTTCTTCATGTGATCACAAAATGACAGTCCAAACTCTAAGTATTACATCCACATTCAAAGTAGAAACAAAGAGGGAAAGATACCAGCTCCATCTGTTCTTTCTAACAGCAAAACAAAAAGTTTTCCAAAAGCTTTCACAGCACTCTTCCTTTGTATCAGGATTAGGTCACATGACCTAGTCTAGCTGTGATGGACACCTCGGGCTGGGCATGTGGTCACCCAAAACAAAATCTGGGCTACCCTGGCAAGTAAGAAGAAATGGATATTAGGCAAACAATTAACAGTGCTAGTTACAAATACTCCCTGAGCTGGCAGAGTAAGTCAACCCAAGCTCAATAGGAGCAGCATATAGGAGAGCAATCCGAGAACAATCACGGACTAAGGACCAGGTTCCATTACCACTTTCCAGATGCCAGGCAATTAAACATATTCCAAGACCTGAGAATGGTGGCAGAGTTGTCCTCACTGATATTGGATTTATTGCTAACACAGGCACAGAGCTATACCTAATTTTATTTGTAAAACAGGCTAATATGTTTTTTCCTTGCACCCCAAGTGTATGGAACAATCTACCAACTACATATGTCTTCTGAGTTCTCTACTGCTCTGCATCATTCTAAAAACATTAGCATTTTAAAGTAACCTTCCACAGAACCCAGAAAAGTGACTCATCTGGAATCATCAAGTCAATCCAAAGCAGAAGCTATGAGGAAGTCAGGAACTAAAAACAGGGAGACTGATCTAAAGTTTGTGTTAGGTTGAACTACATGCAATTGCCTATTGTTAAGAATTGAGGTGTCTCCCACAAATATTCATATGTTGAAATCCTAACTGCTAGTACCTCAGAATGTGACCTTATTTGTAAATAGGTTATGCTAGCCCAAGACATTCAGTGAACAGGACTGCAGAGTGGGATGATGCCTGCAGATGTTGCAGAGTCTCAGGGACATAATTCTAAACATCACCTGTCACAGTTTCCCAGACCTGGACTGTGCTGGGGTTGCTTAAACAGTGAACTGAAGAATCAGATTCTGTGAAAAGCAAAGACTTAGACTTTGAGAAAACATTTTCAAATCACATATCTAATAAAGAACTTGTATCCAAGAATATATTAAGAACTCAAAACAATACAAAAACTAACAACTCAATTTTTAAGATTGTCAAAAGATTTGAACAGCCTTTTCACCAAAGATGT